TGGAGAAGGAGCGGGAGATGGAAAAGGAGCGGGAGATGGAGAAGGAGTGGGAGATGGAGAGGGAGAAGGAGGAGAAGGAGGTGGAAAAGGAGGGAAACGCAAGAAACGTGCAAGAGAAGGTCCACTTGTTCCAGATACAGTGATAGGTAAGAGCTATACTGCAATTTATGTTGAGAGACATAATGACAAACAATTGCTTCTAAAATGTGGCCTTTATTCTCCCAAATGCTACATAAACATCTTTAGAGAGAAACTTCTTTACATTTGGAATCATCATGGTTAATATTACCAATAGTGGTAGCAGGAGCAGGTGTTTGTATTTTGTTGTTGATGATGTTTTTATGTTTTAATATTGTCTCCTCATTTCTCTTATCAACATCTTACAATTCTCTTGATGTTTATTTGTTACTGCTGTTTGTCTTTTCCATTAACTTTCAGATTCATTATAAAAGTCTATTTGTCTATTGATCTTAAATGAATATCTTTAAAAATATATATCTATATATATATCTGATATAGATGCAGAATGAATGTCAGTATGTATATCACATTTATTTTTAGTGAGAGTGAAGTCATCATTAGTTTGACATTGATAGTAAATTATCATATTTAGATGCTTGACATTCTGAATAAAGTTGGTAATTATCATCACTAATAGGAGATAGTAACGATGAGGGAACCACAAATCAACCAGGTGAAAAGTCTGGGAAAAAAGGAAAACGTCTCAGAAAGAAAAATGTGGAGGTTGAAGAAGCAGTTGTTGGTAAGAGATGTCAAATGCTGCATGTTGTAGACAATTGACTGGCTATGAAAGTCATTTGGGAATGAAAATGACTTTGACATCACAAGTGTAGAAAACTTTGATGCACGCTGACACGGCAAAGCTCTGCGCTGTTCCGCTTCGCATCTGAAAACATAATTCAGAAAGATTTTGTCGAGCCTCAGTGACGGAATTTACCTTATTTTATATTTTACTTATTTAGCATAGGGTTCAGAGTTACATTTACTAATTCTTGAAAATCATTCCAGTTCTAAAAACTACAGTTTAGTTTTTATCTGTTCCAGGAAATTGAATTGCTCACACGGTTTTCAATTAATAAAATCATTTGAAAACCCGTGGATTTAACTATTTATTATTAACTACCTGCAAAATTATCTATCAATCAACAAGTTTGACAACGTAATTATGTCTTTATGTTTGTTTGTTTTCATGCCTCTTCTGAGAAACAGACAGTAGCATAACATGCTATGCTAAATTCTGCTTCATCTTCCATCTAACCCTTTAGTTAAGTGAATATAGATGGTCTCTATTTGTGTTTTGTGTGTACATGTTTGTTGACATGTTTGTCTTATTGTTGTTATAAATACCTTGTTTAATTCAGGTTTGTTGTGTTAAAGGGGGGAAATGGAAAAGGTGAATTAACTAAAGGTGTATTCAAGTTGAAATCATAAAAGGTGATTTTGTGGTTTGGTATACTTGAGAAACAGAAATACTAACTGTTACACAATCAGTTTACAATACCGTTGTTGAATACTACCAAAATTAAAATTCATTACCAGCACTTTCTCCACTGATATTACTCACTCCTTTGTGATACCACGTCTACATGTAACAAGATGACACATTTTCCCCTGGGGATGAATAAAGTATATACTGTATATATATCTATCTATCTATAGCCCTCTGAGGCTAATCTGTAATTTGTGATTTTGGGCTGTACAAAAATAAATTGAATTGAATTGAACAAGTTATACTTTAGTCACAAGACTACAGTCCGAACTGCAAAAGAAAAACAATCAAAGAGACCCTTAGGTTAATTAAGTAAATTTACAAATACACCATTATGGAATCGATCTTCAATATATCACCTTTTCCACCACCTTCTTTTTCTGCATTGAAGTTCATGTTTTTTTAGTTCTGTCGTTGCTGTTGATCTTGCTTTCGCACTCCATGTTGACATTTGAATTGTTACTGTTTTCATTAATGTTATTTGAAAGGCATATCCAACAGCATATGAGAAACATTGGATTGATGGTAATTATGATGATATCCCCTGAAACTGAAAATAACAGCGAAAAACAGAGAAGCGAGCGGTGCCAGTGGTGATAATGGCACTGGGCCAGCGGCAGGCTGTGATGAATCTGCTGAAAATGGTGAGGGTGCAGACGGCGGCGAGCCAGCAGCAGCTGGCAAGCGTTCAGGCCGCGCACGGCAAGGCCCATTGATCGTGGAGACAGTTAGTGGTAAGATTACTGGCGCTGCATTAACTGCTGCATGGGAAGCACTATCACTGAATGAAGTCGTTTTTATGAGCGGATGACTTTTTCAGAAGTTTGAGGCTTAACACTAAACGTGTGTGGCCACTGAGCAGAATGCTACATGTGATCTCTAAATGGTTAAATGGCCTTTTAGAATGATCAGCAAGAGTGGATTTGACCTTCATAGTGCTTTTAAGAAAAGTTGATGCACTAATGGTTCTGTCAATAGCACACCATATAACAGTTCAATGAATCAAAACATACTTAATTCTTATGTTTTGTAGACTAGCAGTGGTTATATAATTATATTTCTGTGACTTACAGGTTGGATATCAGCGGGCGATATTTATACTTCCACCTCCGTCTCTTATGTATTATTTTGCAGACCGTGAGTCTGTGAGTATGTGTGTGTGAGTGTAATGCTTAACTGCTACTGTGCTCTGTGTTAACAATCTTGCTTGCCTTTTGAAATGATACCTCAATGGTGCATTGAGGTGAATTATTTACATGAGCAAATGCAGAACTGATCCTGTTCTTGACGTAAACACACTCTTACATCATTTGAAGATGGAAGACGAAGCGAGCCGACTTTGGAGGATGACAATGTGCTAAAACCCACTTCTGCACAATGAAGACCAAATTCAGATCAACCAGACAAAAATGATCATTTCTTCCACTGACAAAGGAAATGTCAGGCTTGAGTGGGATTCTTTTTTTATTTTAAGGGCGTGTATTTCTTTCAAGTGTAACTAAATGAACAGAGGCAAATGAGAGTCTCGCTGATGACATTCTTATGAGCTACAACTCTGCAAACTGTTTCAAGTTGAAGAAAAGCCACTCCCAAACAAGACAATCAAGCTACACACTAACCAAGAAGACATCTTCATCAAATTTCAAATAAACACCAAATACGCTTCTCTTACATCCCTTACAAACCTGGATGATGTCGTCTGTTCAAGTATGATATTTCTGACGTGTCTGCATTTTAACATGTGTTTTATGATGAAATGCCATTATAAAAATACATGATATCAACAAAAATGCATAAAGAAAAAAGTTTGTTTACTGTGAGGTAAGTGTTTAAACATCCATACATGGATGCATTACAAAAACGTGACACCACTTGAATGCAGATGTGAGCTGTTGGCCGTGTGCATTTGATAACTTAGTGGTTGATGAATCCTCAGATCCAGGAGTTCACTTTCATGCTGGGCTTTCTGACTGCAAAGCCATTGTTGGAGAAGCAGCAGAGCTGGAGTGTAAAGTGAGCAGGGAAGACTGTGTGGGACTCTGGTACAAAGATGGACAAGAGGTAAGCCCAGGGTCTAAATGGCTTGGATGTTTTTGCAGGAACATAGCCAAATAGGATTGTCGTGTATTCATATTATGTGAGAGCTTCAAAAGGGACTCGATTCATATTTGATGTTACAGAAATGTGTTTGTTTTGCTCTAGATCAAATCATCTGAGGGTATAACCATTTCAAAGGACGGAACTTTCCACAAGCTCAAAATTCACAAAGTCACAGAGGAATTCGCTGGAAAATATAAATTTGAAGCAGATGGACGGAAGACAGAGTCCTTGATTGTTGTTGAAGGTAGGAATAATTGCCTTACAGAAATGACTCATTTGCATAAAGAGGTTGCATCACTCATTAAAGAGCACACACAGGTTGTGAATAGAAAATAGATTTTTACTGCAGATTACTTTGAAGTGGATCTTAATAAGTACATAACTGGAAAGCACAAGACTTCTTAAAATGTCTCTCTTTATTGTTTTACCAATCGCTGTAGATCCACCCAGATTTCCTGCTAAGGACCTGGAAGCATTCAAAAAACCTGTAACAGTGAAAAAAGGACACAAAGCTACATTCAAAGTACCTTACATTGGACAGGAACCTATAAAAATTCTGTGGTACCTTGAGGGCGAAGAGCTTTCGGAGGAAGCAACTATCAAGTTCGATCACTCGGAGGGCTGCAGCCGTCTGCTTCTAACCAAGCTTCAGCGCAAGGACAGTGGTGAAGTCAAGATCAAAATCAAAAATGAGTTTGGCACTGTTGAGGCCTTCAGCCAGCTTATTGTACTGGGTATGTATACAAACATTATTTGACAGTATTTTGTATGCACTTATAGAGTAAGTGGCCGACAAAATACCTGCCTTACTGAATTATTTTGTTACACTTTAGGTAACATGTTCAGCACAGATTAATATTCTATATGCTACTTTCTTTTCTGGCAGATAAACCCACTCCTCCAATGGGACCTCTGGAGATTGTGGAAGCCTCTTCCTCTGCAATTGATTTCAAGTGGAGGCCCCCAAAAGACAGCGGTGGCTGCAAGATAGGCAACTACATCCTTGAGCGTCAACAAGTTGGCCGCAACACCTGGAAGAAAGTGGGGCCAATTGGTCCAGAGTCCAAATACAGGGACTCTGATGTAGACCACGGCAGGAGGTACTGCTATCGCATCAGAGTGGAGACTGAAATGGGCACCAGTGAGCTGATGGAAACAGAAGACATTCAGGCCGGAACAAAAGGTAAACTCAGACCAATGTCTGAAGTTGCAATGCAAACAATTGACAGATTCACTTTCCGTTGCAAAAAAACATACTAATAAATCTCTTGAATAGAGTTCAACTTTGGTGAACCAACAAATTTGCATTGTTGACTAATAGCAAATAATCTTGATAATCTGATAATCCAAAATGGAGCTATTGTAGCTTTTTAGTTGTTTTGCATCATCCAGTTTAGAGTACACACTGCTCCTGAAAAGAGGCATGCTTTTCAGACAGTTATGGGTCAGTAGTTGATGCTATGCACATATACATCTCTTTAATTAACTATGTAAATGTGTTGTCCTGTTAGCAACGCTTCAATCATTTTTAATTAACTAAAAGAATGTAGTATCCTGAGAACAAAATCCTTGCGGATAAAAGGCTGCAGTACAGATGAAATAGAAAGAAGCTCAGAGGGCTTTTGTGACTGCATATAGCGCTAGCACGTTCACTGCTTGCTAGCATGTTAGGTGTTATCTGACCAGCAAGAGTAGTTCACCAACTAGTCTGGTGAGTAGACCCTTCATCATCAAGCCACTACCATCCCCCAATTCACGAAATCACCCTGAATTTCACTCGGACACTTTTCAGGTGTGACTGGGTCTTGGCTAACCACAAATACTTTTACATTTTTGACGAAGAAATGAAAACAGATCCCAATCTTTTGTGTGTACAGCATACCCTGGACCTCCATCAGCACCAAAGGTTGTAACTGCCTTCAGGAACTGCATCAACCTCTCTTGGTCTCCTCCATCTGACACTGGAGGAACCAATATTCTGGGATACAACCTTGAGAAACGCAAGAAGGGCAGCAACATGTGGGGTCCAGTCAATCCACATGATGACATGATCAAAGGTTAATGATTATGCATACATTATTTCTCTTTGATCATGTTTTGACAATCTGTTTCAACACAAAAGTGAACGTCTTATGATTTATTGCTGCGATTCCTATATTGCATAATGTGTTTTTCCTATACAGGTAAGGAATTTGGAGTTAAAGATGTGGTCGAGGGCATGGAGTACGAATTCCGAGTGTCAGCAATCAACAACTCTGGAGCGGGTGAATTCAGTTCACAATCTGAGTTTGTGTTTGCCAGAGATCCGAAAAGTAGGTGGACATTAAGAACTGTTATCACACTCATTATTTCATCAACACTTCATATAGCTTACGAATTGCATCCCTGAATGTGATTCATGTGTTACAGAGCCTCCTGGTAAAGTCATAGACTTCAAAGTGACAGATTCCACCTACACAACCCTGTCCCTGTCTTGGACCGTACCCAAGGACATTGAGGGGGTTGAGGATGAAGCCAAGGGCTATTTTGTGGAGATCAGGCCTGCAGAGAGCACAGACTGGGACCGCTGCAATTCAAACGCAGTAACTATGACTTCCTATACAGTGAAAGGCTTGAAGTCAATGGGCATGTACTGGGTGAGAGTCATAGCTACTAATGATGGAGGACTGGGAAAGTCACAGGAACTGGATAATTACATCCTCGCTACGCCACCGCCAGGTAAGAAAATCACTTCAGGGTTACTTCTGTCAAACTGTAATATATTATAAATATTGTGATTACGGGGAAACCACTTCATAGTTAAAGAACCAGTAGTTGTACAACCAGTAAGTTTAACTTACTGATGAAAAAAATCTGAATTTTTAAACTGATCTAAATCAACTATGTAGATGAGGGGAGCACAAATAAAAGCAAGGTTTATTGTGAAAATCCAGACCTAAATTAACCTAAAGACATTAATAGATGCTCTACAAACCCAACTAACAGTTAACTTGATCAGGATCATTAATTACTGGTTTGAACAATTAAGATAAATACAATGATGAACTAGGTTTTATGTTGACTTTAATCTATGAATTGGTTGGTGTCAATTTGGTTGGATTATGGTGGTGGGGCTATGTTTGGATCAGTACAAATCCTAATCCTTGTCAAATTAATAACACAAATGATTGTAGCAGTAGACCTGCTGCATATTGTACTATAACAAAAAAATTATAGTTTTGCAGCAAAGTAGTCTGATTTTTCTGGTTTGCACATTATCTTTAAAAAGCCATTGTAAACAGCTAAAACAATGACAATGAATGACCAACTTTCATCCTGCTGTTCACCCAGTGAGACCACGATTCACAGATGCCAAAATCAAGAGTTTCATGGTGGTGAGAGCAGGGAATTCTGCACGATTCACCATTAACTTTGAGGTAATTTAGGTAGAACTTTAGATGGCATACAGTATATCTATGACAATGAATATATATAGAGATCTAATTTCATCTTCTGACAAAATCATATTTCCATATTCTTTGTAGGCATCTCCTTGGCCTGAGGTCACCTGGCTGAAAGATGGATCACCAGTGCCTAAAAAGGTGACCATTAGCAATGCAGAGGAAACATCCCAGCTGCTAATTCCTTCCGCTGAGCGCTCAGATACTGGAATCTATACCATCATTGTCAAGAACATTATCGCCCAAGAATCATTTAGCATTGAAATAAGAGTCACAGGTGAGTTTGGCAAAATACTTTACCTTCTTACTGTATAAATAATTTCCTCCTATTCCATATACTGTAGATACAAATATAAATGTTTGTATCTGAACTCCAGATGAGCCGAAGCCACCAGGTCCTGTAGAGACTGACGAAAACGTGCCCGGCACAGTGACCATTTCATGGACCTCGTCACCAGATGAGAAACGTGATGACAGGCTGCACTACATGGTGACTAAGCGTGATTCAAGTAAAGGCACTTGGCAAACCATTGCAGATCACATCTTCAACAATAAATTCACAGTCTGCAACATAGTGCCGGGCAGAGAATACCAGTTCAGAGTCTTTGCAAAGAATGACATGGGCGCCTCCAAATACTCCGCATCACCGAAGTGGCTGATTTCTAGCAAAAAAGGTATGTAAATACTGGATTACCCAGTTTGTCAAGAAATAGACAAATATCTGTATTTGAAGAAACATGTATCACCAAGACACAGAATTAAGGAGATGTATCATTGCCATCACATTAGCACAGAAACAGAGTGAGAGTGGTTTGCTGTAATATCATGAAGAACTCCAGTATATATATAGGTCAATGTTCTTCTGTTCGATGATTACTGTTCTAATGCAAATGTTCTCTTTTCCAGAAAAGTTCACTGTGAACGTGCCAGAAACAAAGCCATGTAATCTACAGTGTCCTCCCAAGTTCCTTGTCCCACTGAAAAGGCACACTGCTCCTCAAGGGTATGAATGCTACATGAGCTGTGCCGTAAAAGGGGATCCAACACCTCATGTGACTTGGCTCCGCAACAATATCAGTCTGAATACCAACACTAACTACTTCATATCCAACACCTGTGGAGTCTGCTCAATGCTCATATTGACGGTTGGATCTAAAGACACCGGGGAGTACAAGATTGTTGCAGAAAACTCCATGGGGCGGGCAGAGTGCTCCACTAACCTGACAGTCAGAGGTAAATCTTTACCAGAGTGGAAGTGTATTTTAAAGATGCTTTCACCGTGTCTGCATGGGTTGGCATGTTATACAGTGATGATCTTTGAAATCTAAAACTAATAGCTGCCTTTGTCTTTTTTTTACAGAATAAATGAACGCACTGAAGATGGAAGAATTGCTCTAAAATGCTTAAAATGCTTAAAATGTGTTTGTAATTCACATGTTGTCAAATGTAGAATGAATGATTATGTATTTTGCCGTGATACTTTTCTTATAGGTTGCTAACTACTGGACTAATCCCTAAACAGGCCGGCATTTATTCAAAGTTAAACTCGCAATAGCGTCTTAGAGATGCAAATGTTGCTGAAATAAAAGCCACAAACTTGGTTTGTTTGTTTTGGGCAATCTCAATAAAATGGAAGCTTTAAATACTAGTGTGCAACGCAGCATATTTTAACGCGGGTAGTATGCATGTTGAATACCAAAAACAGTGTCCTGTACTGAAAATACAGGACACATGTGTGTTATTGATTTTAGTAGTTCTATTTTAAGATGTCTTTCTCACCCTAATGGAACTATCTGCTTGTGTCTTTCAATTATATTTAAATGTAGAGGTTGTTTGTTTGCAATTACTGTTCCTCTAAACTGAAATGACAATAAATTACTGAAATAACAAATGTATATGATAATGACTGTGATGATTTTTTATGCATGTAAAACAAATTTGTGGGTTTAGTGTAAATAAATGTCATACTGCTATTGTGAGGTGGGGTTTTTAATCTGACCTACATGTCAATTTGAAAAACAGTTAACTCCTAACAAACATTTTTGCTGTTTTTTTTACAAAAAACCCGCATATATCCATATATGATGATAGACTAGAGCATATAGTCAGACCTTTACAGAGCAAGTTGGGTATCAAACTTCATACCACTTGTTCAACTCCATAAATGTTTATGTGAATAATTTATGCCCAGTCTTCTTGAATTACCACTCTGAGCATGTTTTTTGTGAGGTCAGACACAAGTCCAAGTTTAGAATCAGGGTCAACAGTTGCACCCTGGGCTAAAACATGTCTGACGAGAGCAGGATGACACTTCTCAGTTTCAAAGTGAAGTTCTAGTTACAATGTTAAAATACATGCAACTACATAAAGATCCTTTCTGTTGGGTTTCAGTCGAGCAAGACTCGAAAAATAATAGTGACTCAATAGTATTAAATTTAGGTTTTCAATTGTTGTGTTTGCTCTTTGACTGGTACGTGCAGAGCTTACAGTGTCAATAAGAAAATACGAACATTCGTGCAAATTGTCCATTTTTTGGGATAGACTTTCAGCATTAAAAGTGATGGTTCAGTTAATTGACACCTACCTCTTGTTAAATGTTGGGATGAAGATCAGTAACCTACATGTTCAATTAAGCTAATGGAGAGACAGCTCAGCCCATGGCACTTCTATGTCACATTCGACGAGACTTCCCTTTTGAATAGAAGTCACCTTGCAGCTGGAATTCCAGTTTTGAGGGAGGGATTAGGAGCTTCACTCCTGTATTTGATCTGGTGCCCCTTTTTCAAGATCCTATAGGACTTTAGGGTTAAAGTGCATGTCAGTAAACCTATCCCCAGGAGCCACAGTGAAAAAAAGAAAAGCAGTGGGTTAGGTTGTGTGTCTCTGAAAGACTTTATTGCCTCTCAAAAGGAAGAGCCCTTACTCAAGAATCAGCTGGAACCTGGCCTGCAACTAACATCAGGGAACAGCAGTGCACTTGAAAAAAAAATAGTAAGTACATTTTCCAAATACTGGGGAAATTCCCTACATGGTTGAATATTTCCTCAAAATCTTTATTCTGTGAGCCAATTTATGTATATACGTGTATGTTGGCTAACCTGACACTAGTTTGCATATTGATGTGTATTAACCTTTGGTATGAATAGTAATGAGATCTTACTAGTTAGCCTAAGTCAGAATTATTATTGAATGCTGACAGCAGTTTAGTATCTCTGAAGTTTGATATGATAAGAACCAATGTGATGAGCTTTAATAATGCTGTTTATGATACTTGTTTTTTAGGCAAGAATAATTGATTGATGAGAAATAATAAAATACAGGAAAATGTTGAAAAAAGATCCGGATCAGATTATTGATTGTTTCAAAAGGTCAGCGGTAACCGATCGTCAAACTATAGAAACATAAAAACATATTTGTCTATTCAAATTAAAATTGGTCCTACACTTTCCTCCTGCAACAAACAAAGGTTTACAGTACGTTGCTTAGTTTTAATGTGATATTTTACTTTTTATTTATTCACAAACAATTGACAAAGAAAAAGTTTATGCTCACCTCTGCTATTAAATGCAGCTCTGAGATTAAGGACATAGACCTGACAAGTTTTTCAAGAATCAGTCCACACCCTTTGTCTGATATACTTAAGCATTGATTTATACTTAAGTAATTATTCATACTTAAATATAAATCAATTAAATCAAATTAGGAACTACTAATGAGTATACTGGTGTAAACATAGATCTGCTTTCTATACTTTCTGAAATACTTCTAATAGTATTTGATTAGTGGTGACTGAAGCTTAGCTTCTACAATCTAATTATGAATTGATTAAAAGGAAACGTGATCATCAAAATGACCATCTCATAGTTTCAGAACAACTTTGATTCATGTAAACAAATTTAGAATATTTTGAACCAACCAAATGTTAACCTTTAACTATGGTGATAATTCAGGGCTAAAAAGAAAGCAAAGCCTAAATGCAATGACGGTTATGACTAATAAATGGCATTTGCAGCAGGGCACACACGTGTGCCACCTCCTGAGTAATGACACAGTACTGTAGATGTTTTATGAGGTATGTGACCTACTGCCTGCCAAATTAGTCAAGTCACCTACAGGAATCTACAAAGGGTTGATCTCAGGAATTCTGTCACATATAGAACAGATAGAGTTACAAACGCATGTAACCCTGACACCACTTGCGACATACGTCTTACTCTCATAGTTTAAGACTGACGTCAGACAATGCAGCACGTGTTATTGGTGGTAGAAATAAATTGTGTCCAATTACATCTTAACGATCTCTCGAAGGATAAACTTTACTTAAACGTGCATCGACATAGTGTTGTAAAAGCGGGCGCACTGCCTTAAGCCACTAGTTAAAACAATGATGTGATAACCATTACAGATTCAGACCATCTGGTAGAGATTAACTGCATGTCAGACAGAAAGAAACCATCAATGTGAAAACCAAGTGTACCAACGGTATGTAAGCAAACCTAACAGCGTTGCCTTATGAAATATTAAGCATTTTAAAAGTGCATTGTAATGTTTTTTTTGCAGTAACAGAGAAGCTGTTGTCAAGATCAAGATGTTTAAAATACGTAGACCAAAGGAGGACGAGCCAACTGCTCCAGGGCAGGGTAAGTAACGAGAAGAAACACAAATTACAAATTGCAAATTACTGACAAACAATAGAATACGTGATGAAAACAACATAGCCTTTTCTGAGAAATATGAAAGCTGTTACATTTTCAGGTATTTGTAAATAATGCAATTTATCTCATTGATTGACAGTGAAAATTAAGAAGAGGTCAAAGGTGGCTGGAGTTATGATCACGCAGTATGTGGAAGAACTACCTGAAGGCATGACCACCCCAGATTTCACTCCGGAAACCTATTGCTCTAACTATTCAAGAAGGTAAGGTACAATTCCACCTCTAATCACATGTCCAAACGTATTCCTTTTTGATTTATTATATTAATAAAATATTTTAATTTGGTGCCATTTCTGTAGGAAAATTGGCTATCTTCAGAGCAGTCGTTACTGGCAACCCAACACCAACTGTTACCTGGGTGAGAAATGATGGGGAAATGGATGAAGAACGGAACATAACCGTCTTTGATGAGACTGCTGGTGAATACCAACTACAGGTGAGATCACTGTCCATGTGTCATGAGGAATAGTTATTCAAATAACTTAAAATCTAAAAGGAGACTGGCGAATCAATACATACATTGGAATGATCATTTTAAGCCGTCTTGCACTATTTGTTGCAAAAATACTGATAATCATGTATTGATTGATAGATGCCTGATGTAGCGGCGGATCAAGCCGACACCTACAAGTGTTTTGCCATAATTGAATATGGAAAAGCGGTTGTAACTGCGGCGCTTAATATTATTGAGGGTCAGTTACTCACTTCTATTCCATTATACATTGTTTTAAAATAAGTTAAGATAAATAACCTCTGTCTCACTTCACTGAATTATTTTTCATTTTAGTTGGTTTCAAGAAGAGCAAAGCCATGCAACAATCGAGAACAGGTACACAGCCAACATTTAATCTATAATAATGCAATGTCAGTCATTAAGAAAAATTGTTAACATGCTGTTGGTTTTGTCGTAGCAGTCAGAGAGACACCTGAGGACTTCAAAAAGGCCTTAAAAAATAAGTAAGTAGAACATTTACATTGTATGATTATTACCATATAGTGTTTACTAATATTTTTTGGGGGTTTGTAGGGTTGACATGGAGGCAAAAGAAGACAAAAAAACTGAAATTGATGAAAAGTTTTGGGAACTGTTGATGAGTGCAGACAAGAAAGATTACGAGACCATCTATGCTCAGTATGGCGTCACTGATTACCGTGGGATGCTTAACAAACTAAGTGAGAGGAAGATTGAGAGGGAGCAAGAGCAATCAAAGGTATGTTTCTGCTTTATCTAAGTGCCATCTATAATTATATAAATAACTACTGTAGTACAAGTACAAACTCTAAAACATATTTTTCTTAATTCCAATTAATACAGGTTGTTGAAAGGCTATGCAACCTAAAGCCCATTTAATTGAAGGCTGATGGTGGTGCAGAGTTTGAACTTGAAATGTCACTAAAAGACCCTAAAAGCAAAATCTTCTTATTCAAGGTGAGATGACTCATTTTAAATATTAACTTTTTTTCCCCAATGGTGAATTAATTAAACAAAGGGACTGAAAGTCTTAAATTACAAACTGCTCAAACATTTATGACTGCTTATGTTTAAACAGGATGGAATTATGATTCCCTTTGACGTGGACACAGACATAAAACATGGACTGAAGCAGGTGGGAAAGAAGTTTGTGTTTAGCATCAATGGTGTTGATCCAGACGATGCAGGGTTATACCAAGTGGAGGTTGATGGAGTTAAGATCTTCTCAACTGACTTCAAACGTAAGAAAATTCACCAAATTATTTATCTACACACTACTCACAGAAGTCGAAAAAAGCTGTGATTACATGATTGTCCTGAGACAGGAAATTTGAAATACCATGTTATGGTTATAATACTTGTGTTCTCTGTCTAGTTCCCCCTGTGGAGTTCTTGGTCAAGATTCAAGATGTGAAAGCAGAGGAAAGAGAGGACGCTGTGTTTGACTGTGTCCTCTCACAGCCCCTGAAAAAGCTCAAATGGATGGGAAAGAGTAACCCACTAGAGCAAGGGGAGAAATATGACATCACTGTGTCAGAGGACATGTTGATTCACTCCTAGGTGGTGAAGGACTGCCTGGTATTGGACAAAGGAATTTATGCGGCTGTGACTGGACAGGCATCCTGCAATGCCTGGCTTATAGTGGAAGGTATTGTTTACATATTTTAAACTGCATCTTGTCAGACTGTTCAACATAAGTTTATCTAATACTGAAAATGTATGAAGCCTTAAAAATTGTCCTTGTTCTGTCTGTTATGTATTAGCTGACAATGATCCAAAAACAAAAGGAAAGAAGAAAGCTCGCAAAACTACCAGAGCAGGTGGTGGTGGAGAGGAACTTTTGAAGATTGCTGAGGAGCAACAGGCTAAGAATCAGATAGAGAGAGAGAAGTTGATCGCAAAGGCAAGGGTTGAGGCTGCAGCTGCGGAAGCAGAGGCTAAAGCTAAAGCGGAAGCTAAAGCGGAAGCTAAAGCGGAAGCTAAAGCGGAAGCGGCGAAGGCAGCCAAGCCAAAAGCAAAGGCAGCGACAAAGACAAAGAAAAAGATGGACAAAAAGGCAGCAGTGGAAGATGGCGCAGAAAAAACAGAAGAAGAAGAGGATGAGGAAGAAGAGGATGAGAAAGAAGATGTAGAGGGAGAGGCTCCTGCTGAAGTTGCTTATACTGAAGAAGAGGAGCCGGCTCAAGAGAAAAGAAAGAGAGTGAGAGAAGGCCCACTCGTCCCTGATACAGTCATTGGTATGCATTAAAACATAGTAATTAAATTCCAAGTACTGCTTCATTCATATATTCCTGTTCCTGGTTAACAATATTGCATTTCCATTAAGACCCAGGAGTATACTTCACGGGCGGACTGTCAGATGTAACCGCAATCATTGGCACTGATGCAGAACTGGTCTGCAGGCTGAGCAGTGAGGACTGTGATGGAGTCTGGTACAAAGATGGGAACGAGGTGAGGAGGAGTTGAGAGAGGAGTAGCTTTCGTCTTTCACTTTCATGAGATTTAAGAGTGTTTACATGTGTGTGTTCATGCATTTCAGATAACGGCTACAGAAGATATCCGTATTGTTAAAGACGGGACTTATCGCAAACTAATTATCAAGAACTGTAAAGAAGATGATGCTGGAAAGTACCGCTGTGAAGCTGATGGCCGTAAAACAGAAGCTGCGCTAAGTGTTGAAGGTATTGTAATCATAATCAATTTGAGGCACTTCAACTAAAGCCGACCAAAAAGGCAGCCACTGGGAAAATGTTGAAAACAATATTCTTTTCAGCTCAGCAATTAAAGTTTTCAGCTTAATAATATGTGTGTTGTTTCTGCTAGATCCTCCAAGAATTAACCCTGATGACCTCACCGAGTTCAGAAAACCTGTCACAGTCAAAGTCAGGAAAGATGGAGCCTTCAAGATGTCCTTTGTGGGCCGGGAACCCATGAAGATCCAGTGGTATAGCGAGGGCGAAGAGCTCTTTGAGGACACCCATATCACAATAGAGAAGTCTTCCTCACACAGTCGCCTGGTGCTTACTAGGTGCCAACGCAAAATAACAGGAGAAATTAAGATTAGGATTACAAATGAATGTGGAACAATTGAGGCCATAACCCAGCTTGTTGTTTTAGGTAAGGTTTGTTGAACACTGCATGTTGAGAACTGCATGTTTTCAGTTGTACGAAGATTATAACGGAAGTGGAAATGAGTGTGTTTATTTCGCCGCCTTACAGAGAGACCAACACCACCCCTGGGCCCGGTTGATATTATTGAAAGCTCGTCAACTTGCATTGAATTTAAATGGAGGACTCCCAAAGACAACGGAGGTTCCCCTATCACAGACTACATCCTGGAGCGCCAGCAACTTGGCCGAAACAGCTGGAAGAAATTAGGCAAGATTGGCCCAGAGCCTAAATACAGGGATGCTGATGTAGATCATGGTAGAAAGTACTGCTACCACATCAGGGTGGAAACGGATGAAGGCATCAGTGAAATGATGGAGACAGATGACATTCAGGCAAGGACAAAGGGTGAGTCTTTACAAGCACGACGACTTGTATTGACGGTGTACAAATACAAAGGGCTTTGTGTGAGTCTGTGAAAAGTGACAATGTTTTTCTTCTATTTCATCACTCAGCATACCCTGGATCTCCTTCTCAACCAAAAGTTGAAAGTGCTTTCAAAGACTGTATCAATCTTGTTTGGTCTGCACCCGCTAATACTGGAGGAACCAACCTTTTGGGATACAATGTCGAGAAACGCAAGAATGGCAGTAATCTGTGGGGCCATGTCAACCCTCCCAATGAGCCCATCAAAGGTACAGTGTTGCATCTTGAATACAGTCATAGCATTGTCATTTGGAAATGTGCAAAAGTCTAGAATTACATTCTAAATTGTACAGTCTTAACTATACTTTTTGACATGCCAACAGAGAAAAAGTACGCAGTGAAAGATGTTGTTGAAGGCTTCGAGTATGAGTTCCATGTATCAGCTATCAACATTTCTGGTGCTGGAGAGCCAAGTTCGCCTTCTGAACTTGTGTTTGCCAGAGATCCAAAGAGTGAGTAATAAGCCGATAAAAGCTACAATATTATTATCTCAACACTTGATCGTTTAAAATCTCAATGCTTAAATGTTTGTGCTTCCAGAGCCCCCAGGTAAAGTTATTGATCTGAAGGTGACAGTCTCCACATACTCAACATTATCGCTGGGCTGGACCAAACCCACGGAGGAGGAAGGGGTCCAGGATGAGGCCAAAGGATATTTTGTGGAGCTCAGACCAGCAGAAAACCTAGAATGGGGTCGCTGTAACTCCAATCCTATCATTATGAGCTCCTTTACTATTATCGGCCTGAAGTCCATGGCCATGTACTGGGTAAGAGTTCTAGCCACCAATGATGGTAGAGACGGGGAGCCCCAAGAGTTCAACAACTACATCATTGCAATGCCTCCTCCAGGTGAGCAGGTGGAAATTGTGAACTGTCTGCAGTCAAAATTTGATACATTTCACCTTCATTTAATTACCTTTTCCACACTGTTACAGTGAGACCACAATTCACTGACAAAAAGATGAATACCTTTATGGTGATGAAAGCTGGGAACTCCGCTCGAGTCAACTTAAACTTCCAGGTTCAGTATAACTCACAAAACCTTCGGAGCATAAAAACACCACATCCTTTTGTTCAAAGTGTCAGATTAGACACTTCTCTGCTGCTCGACAAAAAAAAGTATGAACCCACATCTTAGCCCTGTATCTCCTGTTGTCGGCAGGCGTCTCCAATACCAGCTATCAAATGGCTCAAGGACGGTAATCCTGTCGGCAAGCATGTGACAGTCAGCAACACAGACACATCATCGCAGATGATGATCCCTGCAGCAGAGCGCCATGACACTAGGATCTACACAATCATTGTCAAGAACCTTGTTGGTCAGGAGACCTCCAGTGTTGAGATAAGAGTCACAGGTAAGAGTGAAAAAGGAACATTTTTAACTAATCCGTAACAAATAAAAGTTGAGGACCAATAGTTAATGGATTTGCAGTGAGATATGCATTCGCTTTTTAAGACTATTTCAAAGTTCATGTAGTTTTTGAAAGGAAGCAAAAAGAGTTCTCATATATTCAGAATTAATGGGTGGGGAAAGTTTAGAGATTAAAGCAAAGTTGAGAGAGTAAAAACACCAACACTAATGGCAAGATATTACAAACCTTTTCCTACCCGTTTCTAGACGAGCCCAAGCCTCCAGGCCCCGTGGAGCTGGAGGAGACTGTGCTGGGAACGGTGACGGTGTCCTGGACTCCCTCTCCAGATGAGAAGAAAGACGACAGGCTGCACTACATAGTCACAAAGCGAGACTCTGTGAAGCGTTCTTGGCAAACTGTGGCAGACCATCTCTTCAATAACAAGATCACTGTCATCAACATCATGCCGGGGAGGCAGTATAAGTTCCGGGTCTATACCAGGAATGACATGGGGCTCTCCAAACCTTCTGAGTCCACAATTTGGGAAGTGAAAAGAATTAAAGGCAAGTTTAACAAAAGTGATACAAAATTGTGTATAAAGCAGAAACAAGTAGTTCGGTATTCAATTAGTTGATTAAATGGCAACCATTTTGATAAAACAAGACAAGTAAAGATGTCATAAAGGCTCTCAAAACTTGTGACGGGAATTCCTCGCAATTTCATTGACCAAACAGATTAATCGACAATGAAAATAATTGTTGGTTGCAACCTCACTGCAGTTTAAAATACATCAACCCAGGTCTAAATAAATGTAGATGAGGATAGAGCTGCAGACAATGAGTCGACCGGTCAAGTAGTTGAGTCCAAAACAACAATCAATTTATCATTTCAGATACATTTATTTAAGTCTAAATGCAAATGCATTTATATCGCTACATATTCTGCCAGAGACACTGAGGGGAGTTAAATGAATCAATTAACTTGGGACTAAAGAGACTAAGACGATGGAAAATGTATCAATAGTTATGGATTACTCTGTATTAACTTTCATTTCCTTTCTCTTCCATCCTTCCAGAAACATTTACTTTGAACCTTCCTGCCACTAAAAACTGCAGCTTTGAGACGCCTCCCTCATTCTCTGTTCCGCCAAAAATGCACAAGAGTCCAGAGAGCTATGAGTGCTACATGAGTTGCGCTGTGACAGGAAACCCCAAACCCCATGTTACCTGGTACAGAAATAGCATCAGTCTCAACACCAACACTAACTACTACATCACAAACACATGTGGCGTCTGCTCCATGGTGATACTTAAAGTTGGCCCGAAGGACACCGGGGATTACGCAGTCATTGTAGAAAACCCTCTGGGCAGAGTGGACTGTTCAACTAAACTTGTTGTGGAAGGTAAAAACACATGCATATGTATTTGTTACATCTTAAATTCTACTCCTCTGGCTACATGTTTGAATAATTCTCTCTTCTCTCCATCCTTCTTCAGATTAGGATGATGCAGTGGGCCTGAACTCCTGAAGATGCCATGTTCCATTTAAGATGAATGGAACATTTGCCAATTTTTGAAACCTGCTTTTTGTGAATTACGGTATTACTGGGTTTCAATAAACTGTCCAGAAGAAATTAAGGATGAAAGAGAGAAAGAAAGAGCTATTGGTGTTTAAAAGAAAAACAAATGGACTGGATAAAACTCGATTTTGTTGTATTTGAGTGTAGATTTTACAAAATGCATCGGCTGGATGCAAAGAGCACTTTGATAGGAGACAGTAATTTCATGCTAATCTTTGCACCAAACATGTTTATTCATTGACCTCTTTTTCCTCTGCTGTTTCATGTAAAGGAAACAAAAAATCAGCTGGCTTCCTCATGGAAAATTGCCGATATACAATATGGCTATAACTGAGTATGTTTTAGTGTTTGCATATTCACTGTATAAATTATTAATAATTATTCCAAAAATGTAAATAAAGCCTTTTTGTTCAACACTGAACTGTCTTACTTTTCAATCGTTACCCTACATTTAATGCTGGGCTTGTCACTTGATGTCCTATATACCAAGACTAAGAGTTTACACTTCACCTGGTCTGTGAGGCTATACTTAGGCACTGAAGTGCTTTGAGCTAAATGCTAACGCCAATATGCTATCACTCCATATTGGCCTTGTTCACCAGTATCTGTCTGTTCTTAATTTTTTCTTGAGAAAAGGTCCAAAGAAAAGTCTACGTCAGACGTAAACTGCAGAATAGTTTGTACCAGTGTTCTTATTATGATGTGTTCCATTGTGCTTGCAAAATCAAAAGCATGTACCAGTTGATCCTAACTAGCATAAACGCCCTGCCAATCCCAATAAAAGGGTGTGAGACTGCAGGTTGGTGTGGACACAGAAATTGAAAGGAAAGGTTCAGAGAATTAAGCAAAGAATGCCAAAATGAAAGGGTGGAGCACCGGAATCCAAATGTTAAAAATAACTCAATAGTTTTGATGTGGTGGTACTTCTGCAAAAACAAATCAGGGTTCAACATTGACTTTTTGAGACATGCAAGTTAATTTACCTTTCACTTGTCCAGGCACAACAGTTACTTGTCCGGGTAAAAATGTCAATAATTGACTTTGTTCATATTGTTTGCGAATGTATGAAAGCATCCAAACAGTATCAACATATATATATATATATATATAATTAGATTTATGAATTTTATTTTAGTGCCAATATGTAATAAAGAGGAAGGGGTAATGTTCTGCAGCGTCTGCTTGGAGCAACCCAACATGTCTGACCAGTAAGTGACATTAGAACAGAAGTATATGCTTGTTCTATTAAGAATATATGGACAGAAATATTTGATCAAGTTTCTATCTGTTATATACCAATGGAAACTTGGAGGCTTACAATTTCGTGTCAAATTTAATATTTTTCTGTATCCCAAAACAACTTTTCATCTTTAATAATGATATCCCAGAGCCATTATTTTGGCCAAAAGAGTCATTTTACATTCTAATTCAATATCAACATGACCATCTTTATTAGCGAATTCAAACTTCATGATAATAACTGTAACCACCACCTTACCAGACAGAAGTTGACCAACGACTTATATCCAAACCAATTCAACAGACTACTTGATTTAAAAGAAATGGATCTTGCAAAGCACAAACTGAATTTCTACATCCTATATTACCCAAAGCTAAATCCCAAAAATAATCAACAATATTCATCCTTCTCACCAAATACTGACATTAAGACTCAGTTTTAAACGTAACGTTTGTCCGACTTGCAATACAAATGAATCTATGAACCATATTTTATTTTTTTTGTAGTCTCTCCCAACAATATGGGATACAAAACGAAGACAGAAAGGATATATCTGTCGAATCCGAATCATAGGTAGATGTTACGTATGGACATCTTAAGGAAGAGAAGCTAGAAAACTGCTGATCAACACAATTCTCATAATGGTAAATATTGTATAGTGCAGGCCTACACAAAGCCAAATTTATAAAAAAAAAAAAAAAATGATTTATACATATATTTTCTTGTTTATTGTAAATTTGTGTTTGTACATTGAGAGCGGAGTGGAACCCGGAGACAAATTCCATGTATGTGTAAGCATACAAGGCCAATAAAGCTGATTCTGATTCTGATTTTTCTAAAATCCTTGAAATTAGTTTTCTGCTAAAGAACTGCTAATATGTGTAATATTATACAAATAAATTGAGTTTTAACTTCCTAACCTTCAATTTTAAATTTAAGAACATATGTACATAAATATATATGCATTCATTTATTATATTGTTTATTTTCATTACTGACAATATCATGCCCCTAAAGTTATTTGTATGTTATTGTTTTATTTTAGATATTATATTTTATATTATTTCTTAATACACGGACACAAAAGGATTCTAACACTGTGTTCAACCTTGCCTTGCTTCTGTATCTGATGTTCAATAAAGTTGGAAAAAAAAGTGACGTTAGCTAGCTAGCAATAGAAGCTGTGTAATGCACAGGATAATGCTAAAGTTAGATAGGCATGGTGACTGCTCTCGCTGAATCGGTCCCATTGAGCCAAAAATACATTTTGAGATTATCTAAGATACAAACATAGCTAACTGCAGAGGGGAGGGCTAGTGGCGAGGCACTGCGTGTGATTATTGAGTGTGGCAGCGAGTGGCAATTGTCACATTGTGACAGGTGAAGTGAAGTGAAGACACACAGTATTCTTTTTTTCATGAATTTGAACTGTTCCAATGGGGCAAGTAAAATTCTCCTCCACTTTCCTAACAAGAAATTAATGTCTAGCCCTGATTGGAATACAACCAATAGCTGTGGAGACAGAACCAGATGTCAACTGCTCTAGAGGAAAGATCAGGGGATGTATAAAGTCATTATGATTCATCATCTGGGCACCGTGGATGTTTTTACCAAATACCACGACAATACATTGAATTGTTAGACAGTTAAATAAAAAAACAAAAATGTCAACACCATGGCGGTAATACATCCAATATTTTAGGTCAGTTTATTACCTTCATGTGCGTGGCTTAGAACAAACAAACACAATAACATGCCCTGGCTGCAGATTTTTTCATATATGCCTAAAATATCCCAGTATTTTTGTACACAATTATCAATCACTTCTGTAATTTTGTTTTGGCTATACTTATCCAGTATATTAAGTAATATATTAAGTAGCTTGTATGCTGCGATCACATTTAGTTAATCGCAAACGCCCGGCAAACAGTGAGATATGTATTGTTCCTTTCCATTTTGCGCACTGCTTCTGCTTTGCCACCTGTCGCATGGCTTCAAATTTCTCTTTGACTGCCTGCATGTGTTTGCAATGCTTTCAGAGCATATCACGAGTCTATTATGGAAAGTCATCAAAGATAAAAATTTCATGTGCATGACTAAGTGCAACCTTGCAAACAACTGTGCCTCTTCCTGTGCACACAAATATTATCATTGGCCACATGGCATCCTGTTATTTTAGACACGATTATTAACTGGGAGTTTATTGCACTCGGCATTGACATTCAAAAGCCTCAAACCACATGCCAACAGTATTCCACAATACCGTGTAGTGAAAAAACTACACATATTGGCTGTTGTTAACATGCAGTGCAAAAGAGGTTTGCTTCAATCAGACATAATAAAAGACACCTTCTTTTTACAACATAAAAAACATGGATGCAGTAGAGGTTTTTTTTCATCACTAGGTCAGAATTATTTTTGCAATATTTTATAAGTTTAGGTCTAGTAACTAATTAGGCCGATGCAGTGTACTTTCCAATGAAAATAAATAAAAAATGAAAAAAAATGTTGCCAACGCACGTATGGGGTTACCTTTGTCCATGATGCATAGCGCTGGGTTGTGTGATGTCCGGTTGTTTTGTCATACTTTTGCAGGGTAGAATTCTAAGCTCCTGACTTCAGTGACCTTCTGCAATAAATGCCTTCAAGAACATCAAGCCTCTCATATCAGCTGCCCATGCCTGAGAACAGTCATAGTCCCTGGGCCACACATCCGCTTTAATTACACTGCTTGAAATATCCACACATGCATAATCGTGCTCAAACTGAGCATAGCTCTGTTATTACTAAGACCACAACAACTGGGTAGTGGTTTAAAGTGGCAGCAACCCAGACTCCATGAGGAATCTCAATGACTTCTTTGATGCAAGTTGATATCCTCAAGGTGGTTTGTGTGTATGTAACAGATGTACAGTACATGTTGCATTGTTGAAAAGCATTTTGTCCGGACATTTCAATTTTTTTTTTAATTATTAGCAAAAAAAAAACAACAGCTCAGGTTTTTTTTGTTTTTCTTATGATGTAAAATTTGCAGAAAAAAGCCAACCTGTGAATCCAACCTTCAAACACAGGTAGGCTGGACACAAAGGCCGACTGGTGTGTCGCCTCACATCGCCTTTTTTTTCACACCACTCTCGCTCACCACTTCACTGCTTCATTCCAGATGGCCATGTCATCGTGAAAACACGTGTATTGAAGGGATGAGATGAGATGAAGATGAAAAATGAGAAGAGCCTTATGTGTGTGTGTGCCCTCTTGACTTAAGTCAACATGCTAAATCGGCCAAAAAGCTGCCCACAGGGTCAGACTAGTGACAGCGGTGCGGGACACACAGCAAACAATAGCGCACCAGACGCTAACTGATGGCTAGTAGTCAGGCTCTTAACATCCAACATAATAGCACTACTTTTAGTGCAGGAATGTATATTTGCCAGTAAGAGACATAATAAATGAAAAAATATGAACTTTGTGTGCGTGTGTGTGTGTACATTTAAAATAAGAATATAGAGTCTATATAAATATATGTACTGTATATCTCTTTTTTTCGATACAGTGTTTTTGGGAATTAATACAATATCACAAAACATAATATCGCAATAATAAAATGTAATAATATTTTCTTAAACCCCTAGACATAACTCACAAATCTAACAGCCAAAACAAAGACAATTCCAATTTTCAC